ATCATATTTAAAAACTTCAAATTTTATTAAACATAAAAAAATTTAAAACTGATCTACATCACGAGTACAAAGAAATAAAAAAGAAATTAATTATAATTTGGTACAAAAAATAAGACTAATTATTATCATTTACAATTGATTTTGATAATTTTTTAATCTTTTGAAAGTGTTACAAATCAATGCCATCAACAAATATTTTTTTTTCTATATAAAATCTTGATAACAATCTTTCATTTATGAATCTGTAGGTTCTAACATAAAGTCACTTATTTCTATATAATAATAAAATAATCATATAATTTTAAAAAATTACAAAATACCCTTAATATGTCCAAAACTTATTTAGATATGTTCGAATCGTATCCATCGTATGGATAGTGGACTTTATTAAATATTGGAACTCACTATTAGACTTAATGTCACAATATATTAGGTACTGAAATTAGGTTCCAATAACAAAGGTCAAAAGTTAGTAATCATTTAGGTATGAATTTTTTATCCTAATCTNATTGGTCAAAAGTTAGTAATCATTTAGGTATGAATTTTTTATTCTAATCCATATCACAAGATCACAATAATTGGGTGGGCACAATTAAATATATTTAAATTTTATTTAAAAAAATACATAGCTAATGTTAAGCAANATCGAAAATGCTAGAACACCGATCAGAAGCAAAATGAAGAATGAGAGAACATTTCCAAAGGCGAGACGCAGACTCGATCCTGTCGCGTTCTCCGGGGCCGCCATTCAAGCCCAAAACCAATATCTGCGACTGCTATCAATATCACTGTGTGTGTGTGTGTGTGTGAGAGAGAGAGAGAGAGAGGGAGAGTAGTTGTAGCCTTGTAGGTGTCCCGAAACAGGGAAGACTTTGCAGACGGTTTAGCTGCTATTAACTGCAAATACAAATTTACCCCTACAGTTAATGTAGTCACTGTAACTTTTCTAACTGTAGTTGTCGTTGCATTAAATCGTTGGTTATTCTTCTGTCAACAAACGTCAGCCTAATGTTAACATTGTGATTGGTTGCCCAAGTAACAATGCCACGAGGCGTGATGTTATTCGTTAGGCTACCTATTTTGGTTGCTCTCGAATTTCCTACATTTCTGTCTGTACAGTTTCATCAGACACGCACGTACATTTAAGAGTAATACTCCTTCAAAAGATAGNTACATTTGTGTCTGTACAGTTTCATCAGACACGCACGTACATTTAAGAGTAATACTCCTTCAAAAGATAATGTATATTTGAATTATAAATTTTAGGTTCAAATTGAATTGTGTTGCATTTTCCTATAATTTATGCTTCTTCCGGTGGATCGGGGCAATCTGATCCAAATTCAAATACAGTCAAAAATTTGGATCTAAATTTTAACTACATATCCAACAAATGCTATGTTTAGTAATTTATATATAAATTCATTAAAAATTTAAAATTCAATTCAATTCAAATGACTCAATAGAAACTACATTTTTATTTTAACAAATGAAATATAAATGTTGTCAAATAATCACTAAATTTTATTGTATAATTACATATAATATAAATTATATTATAATCAAATCAGATATTAATATGCCATAATCTAAAATGACAAATAAGCTATAATGAATTTTATTTTAAACTGTCATAATGGATTGAAAAGATGTTGATTCGGATCAAATTGCATTTAAAATACGATTTTTGACATTGATTGTTTGTGTCTGTACATGGTATATTGACCGATTTTGAAAATCAAATTTAGTAATCCAAATGAACTAGCATGCCAATATATCAATAGACTATTTTTAGGACTTTTTTATTTGTTGTAGGCGAGGTTGTCGGATGATTTGGGTCACTAAACTTAGTCTCTAAATTTGATCAAAGAATATCAATTCATGTTGATTAATATGGTTTATTTACATGTTATTTTTTATTGGTATATTTTTTGTGTTAATACTTATAAAAAAAATTATTTAATATGGTATAAATATCAAAGATTAATCTAAGTTATTTTATTAGAGATATTTATCAATCGTGTTAATTTTATAGACGTATCAAGCTCGGTTTTCATGGTAGAATATTTGGGCCTGAACGGATGGCTCCCGATCCAATGTAAAACTCTTGTCTGGCCCACGCAAAATTAATTGCATCTTAAACACCTATTTACTTGTCATAAGTCTCGGTCCATGTTGACCATTGAACCGACTCCGAAGCATCTCCCCTCGAAACGGCCCCTCAATATCCAGAGACGCCACATCCATATCTTCTCGCTTAGCTCTTGCCCTAGCATCTNAAGTCATCAGTCCTACGAATTTCATTTTGCTCTTCATTTATCATATACTCAAAATTGGATACCTTGGGACGCAATTACAGATTTTTGTATTCAAATTTGATGCTAAGAAAGCTCTGCAATTTCAGACATACGCTAATAAGGTAACAGTTCAGACCTGAGTAACTCTGTAATTGAAATAAGGATCGAACTCATGAATAACCCTCTCGTACTTAATCACCTGAAAATACAAATCAATAGTACGTAAGTCTTGAAGTACTGAGAATCCACAAAATTCATTTCAAACACACAAAACAAATAATACTTGTTCAATTTCGATAACAGAAAACCAATTAAAATACATATGCGATTGTATATGTGTGTATACATATATTATACGTATATATAGTATGGAGATCTAAGATCAGGTGTTTACTGAGAAGAGTCGGATCGAAAATGCTAGAACACCGATCAGAAGCAAAATGAAGAATGAGAGAACATTTCCAAAGGCGAGACGCAGACTCGATCCTGTCGCGTTCTCCGGGGCCGCCATTCAAGCCCAAAACCAATATCTGCGACTGCTATCAGTATCACTGTGTGTGTGTGTGTGTGTGAGAGAGAGAGAGAGAGAGGGAGAGTAGTTGTAGCCTTGTAGGTGTCCCGAAACAGGGAAGACTTTGCAGACGGTTTAGCTGCTATTAACTGCAAATACAAATTTACCCCTACAGTTAATGTAGTCACTGTAACTTTTCTAACTGTAGTTGTCGTTGCATTAAATCGTTGGTTATTCTTCTGTCAACAAACGTCAGCCTAATGTTAACATTGTGATTGGTTGCCCAAGTAACAATGCCACGAGGCGTGATGTTATTCGTTAGGCTACCTATGTTGGTTGCTCTCGAATTTCCTACATTTGTGTCTGTACAGTTTCATCAGACACGCACGTACATTTAAGAGTAATACTCCTTCAAAAGATAATGTATATTTGAATTATAAATTTTAGGTTCAAATTGAATTGTGTTGCATTTTCCTATAATTTATGCTTCTTCCGGTGGATCGGGGCAATCTGATCCAAATTCAAATACAGTCAAAAATTTGGATCTAAATTTTAACTACATATCCAATAAATGCTATTTTTAGTAATTTATATATGAATTCATTAAAAATTTAAAATTTAATTCAATTCAAATGACTCAATAGAAACTACATTTTTATTTTAACAAATGAAATATAAATGTTGTCAAATAATCACTAAATTTTATTGTATAATTACATATAATATAAATTATATTATAATCAAATCAGATATTAATATGCCATAATCTAAAATGACAAATAAGCTATAATGAATTTTATTTTAAACTGTCNAGATCAGATATTAATATGTCATAATCTAAAATGACAAATAAGCTATAATGAATTTTATTTTAAACTTTCATAATGGATTGAAAAGATGTCGATTCGGATCAAATTGCATTTAAAATACGATTTTTGACATTGATTGTTTGTGTCTGTACATGGTATATTGACCGATTTTGAAAATCAAATTTAGTGATCCAAATGAACTAGCATGCCAATATATCAATAGACTATTTTTAGGACTTTTTTATTTGTTGTAGGTGAGGTTGTCGGATGATTTGGGTCACTAAACTTAGTCTCTAAATTTGATCAAAGAATATCAATTCATGTTGATTAATATGGTTTATTTACATGTTATTTTTTATTGGTATATTTTTTGTGTTAATACTTATAAAAAAAATTATTTAATATGGTATAAATATCAAAGATTAATCTAAGTTATTTTATTAGAGATATTTATCAATCGTGTTAATTTTATAGACGTATCAAGCTCGGTTTTCATGGTAGAATATTTGGGCCTGAACGGATGGCTCCTGATCCAATGTAAAACTCTTGTCTGGCCCACGCAAAATTGATTGCATCTTAAACACCTATTTACTTGTCATAAGTCTCGGTCCATGTTGACCATTGAACCGACTCCGAAGCATCTCCCCTCGAAACGACCCATCAAATATCCAGAGACGCCACATCCATATCTTCTCGCTTAGCTCTTGCCCTAGCATCTCAACGAGCTCTCTCTCTCTCTCTATTCAATAGGTCAGGTACCCCTCCCCCCCCCTCTCTCTCTCTCTCTCTCTAATTAGTCAAGTACAGTTAATATGCTTGGTGTATAATTTGTATAGTTCAGAATTTATATTTATGTGATGATTATGTTGTATACCGTTCGTGATAAAATTTGGGATTTTCTTCTCCTTATAGATTTAGGAGTGTAATCACACACAATCCAGGTGTTAATACATGCGTAGAATTAGGTTTTTGTAGTTGATTTTTGATATGGTAATCGAATTCAAATATGAAGTTGATTGATTCGCTATTGTTATCTTGACTGATTTGAGTACTTGTATCTACCGCGAGGCAAAAGCTGATTTGCTTTTTTATCTTTCTCTCTTAGTTGAATTTGCTCGAGTGTTGTTCATAATTTGTGAAAATTAAATTTTATTGCCTAATTTCGTGCGTTTAGGGTTTGCAATTATTAAGATTTGGGGCCTTTATCAGGGTTTTTCTCATTACTTTTCCTGGGTTTTTTTTTTTAATACTTTTCCTGGGTTTTTTATAGTCTCTGGTTTGTGTGTTTGCTTATGTTGTTGATCTACCGGTACCATCTTCTAGGTTTAAGTTTTGGAGGTGGTCAAAGTCACGTCCTTTGTTGGGTTTTCCGAGTAAGGGTTTCCTATGGCAGCTTTGAAGGAGCTTCTTCCTCCAGTGAAATCGACTGGAACTACACATTATGACCACTCGAATGATCCATGGTTCAAGCAAAGGTATACTGCAGCGGAGGCCGAGAAAGCTGCCACAATCAAGGCCAATCCAGTGCCTCCATACTTGAAAAGGCAGGGCTTTCGGCCAACAAAGCTTGAGGATTATGGTGATGGCGGGGCATTCCCAGAGATTCTCTTTGCTCAATACCCTCTTGATATGGGGAGGAAAAGGGACGGGAACCCCGGGGCGAAGACGTTGCCTGTTACTGTTGATGAGCATGGTAATGTGACGTTTGATGCGATTGTGAAGCAGAATGAAAATGCTTCGAAGATTGTTTATTCGCAGCATAGGGACCTTGTCCCGAAAGTTTTGAAAAATGATGAGGAAGAGGGCGAGATGGAATCAGATGAGAAGAACGAGGAAATTGAAGAGACCACCCAGCAGACAAAAGCGGCCCTTGAGAAAATTGTGAACGTGAGGTTGAGTGCAGCACAGCCTAAAAATGTACCCACTCAATCTTCCGATTCCAAGTTTATTAAGTATAAACCTTCGCAGCAGTCGGCAGCTTTTAATTCGGGTGCTAAGGAGAGGATTATTAGGATGGTGGAGATGCCTGTGGACCCGTTAGAACCACCAAAGTTTAAGCATAAGAGGGTTCCCAAGGCATCTGGTTCTCCACCTGTGCCAGTTATGCACTCTCCGCCTCGACCTGTGACTGTGAAGGACCAGCAGGATTGGAAAATCCCACCGTGTATTTCAAACTGGAAGAACCCGAAAGGGTATACAATTCCACTTGACAAGCGTTTGGCTGCAGATGGTAGGGGGCTTCAGGATGTTCAGATTAATGACAATTTTGCAAAGCTTTCTGAGGCATTGTATGTGGCAGAACAGAAGGCTAGAGAGGCCGTGGCAATGCGCTCAAAGGTTCAGAAGGAGATGATGATGAAAGAGAAAGAAAGAAAAGAGATGGAGCTGCGTGAGTTGGCTCGGAAGGCAAGGTCTGAGCGAACTGGTGCTGCACCACCGGCTGTTGCTCCAGTGTCTTCTGAGAAGATTATGATGGATGCTGATGATATGGGTGGGGACTATGAACGCGTGAAAGAGAGGGATGCCCCAAGGGAGACAAAGGAGGAAAGGGAGGAGCGATTACAAAGGGAGAAAATTCGTGAGGAGCGGCGACGGGAGAGGGAGAGAGAAAGGAGATTGGAGGCCAAGGATGCTGCAATGGGAAAGAAGAGTAAGCTTACTAGAGATAGAGATCGCGATGTTAGTGAGAAAGTTGCTCTTGGGATGGCAACTACTGGAGCAGGAAGAGGAGGAGAGGTTATGTATGACCAGAGATTGTTCAACCAGGAGAAGGGAATGGATTCTGGGTTTGCTACCGACGATCAGTACAATGTCTATGACAAGGGCCTATTTACTGCCCAGCCTACACTTTCTACACTGTACAGGCCCAAGAAAGATGTTGACAATGATATGTACGGAGGTGCAGATGAGCANGACGATCAGTACAATGTCTATGACAAGGGCCTATTTACTGCCCAGCCTACACTTTCTACCCTGTACAGGCCCAAGAAAGATGTTGACAATGATATGTACGGAGGTGCAGATGAGCAGATGGAGAAGATAATGAAGACTGATCGATTTAAGCCTGATAAGGCATTTGTGGGCACATCTGAGAAAACTGGTCCGAGAGATAGGCCTGTTGAATTTGAGAAAGAGGCTGAAGAAGCTGATCCATTTGGCCTTGACCAGTTCTTGACAGAGGTGAAGAAGGGTAAGAAAGCCATGGATAAAGTGGGCAGTGGAGGTACTATGAAAGCAAGTGCTGGGTCATCCATGCGAGATGGCTACGAAGCATCTAATAGAACTCGTATTGCCTTTGAAAGGGGGCGTTAAAATGTTTTCTACTATCGGTTCCTTGAGGTCATAGCTTGAACCTTTTTGCTTTATCAATGCATATGTTTCTCAATTTGTGCTGGCTTGAGTTTGCTAGTGGAGAGTCCAGCCTTGAGTTGTATGTGGTGAAAAGAATTGTACTTTATCTTATTAGGTTTGGTACCTCTCTAAACTTATCACTTTCTAATGTAGTTGTACATGTTTTCTTCTTGGTATGGCTGCTGCTTCGAATTATTTTATCTCCTTTGTATTCTGCCCTTGGGGGGGGATGAAACTGAAGTTATATTTCTTGTTTAAACTTTATCAAATTACTATTGCTTTCTGTTAAGTTGAGGGCAGAGGTTCCTCATCATTGCTGCGTTGCTCTGGAAATTTTGAAAGAGGAAGAGATGCAGGAAGAGACCAAGGTGTACAACCCATGACGTTGCATAAATATGGTAAGAGTAGAGGATTTTGTGCTGCTGTTTACTTTGAACTGATGATCTTATATCCTTCACATGCTTAAAAATTCATTGCTTATATTTTTTTTATTATTTTTTCATTACTGTCTCACATTACGTCCTTTGCACTGTGGAAGTCCTGGACTGACTTCCTATCTGAACCTTGAAGAAGAAATTTGAAAAAGGACCAAGATGAGGTTTGGAATGGGTAATGGGATGTGTTTTGACTTTTTTGATTTCGAGAGTTAAAAGGGAGATTTTGAAGTGCTTAAAGTTAACTATGAATTGATCTACAAACTCTGATTTCCATCTAAGGTAAACTTCCAGTGGCGTGAATGAGGAGTAAGGGCTGGGACTATCCCACATCGGATAGCCTTGGGGTTGGGTGTGTGTGTATAAGGCCCTATGACACTACCACTTTTAAGTAGCGGTGTTGTAGTGGTCCTCTGTGTGTGTGTGTGTGTCTATCGTTTCTGTCAACAAAAAGGGTAAACTTCCATGTGGTTTGCCCTTCAAGGACCTGCAACCTTGTCGTTTAAAAATAAGCATGTGACATCTTTGTGGTTTTGGATTAACTTAGTATTATAAATTCTTCCGGCAAAATTGGCTGTACATGGGCTACAAACACCAGATGGATGAGTTGGGCTTGAAGAAGTTATTGCCCTCCAAAATGATTTAGTCATAGATCTGAAGATTCGAAAACCCTAGATTTTCTCCCCAAATTTCCTCTGAAGGATTGTATTATATATCCGTATGTCTTGTTAGGTTCATTCTCAAGAGAGGTAACAGGCGCGTGGTTAGAAACTTCAAATCCCACCAGTGAACCTATCGGGTGATCTCCAGATGCTTTTCTTTTTTTCCACCCCTTTTTCAATCAAAAATATATATATATCCATTTGCCAGTCATTTTGCATCCGCTACTAATGGAGTCAACTTTTAATCTAATCCTAAAACACAAAGGCAAGTGCTTATTTTCAAATGCGAGGAATGAAAGTGCTTGAATGGCAAACCCCATAGGGTCGATTGTCCTATCGTCAGTTGTGCTGCTTATATATGCTATGTAGGAACCTTATTCTACCATCACTCTATGTATCTGTGATTTTGGTCCCTTATTCTTACTCTATTTTGCAACTTGAATGTGATTAATTACTAGTTAAATAGGTGAGCTTGTAAAGGCAGACGTAGAGTGAATTATTAGGTCCGAAGTAGAGNCACATAGGGTCGAATGTCCTATCATCAGTTGTGCTGCTTCTATATGCTATGTAGGAACCTTATTCTACCATCACTCTATGTATCTGTGATTTTGGTCCCTTATTCTTACTCTATTTTGCAACTTGAATGTGATTAATTACTAGTTAAATAGGTGAGCTTGTAAAGGCAGACGTAGAGTGAATTATTAGGTCCGAAGTAGAGGACGATTATGGATAATTTCATATATGGGACTAGAATTTTCTTTCCCACCGTAATTCATTTTGGAGCCAAACTACGATATATAACAGATAGTATGGGGCACCATTATCCGAAACAAAGCAATCATAACCAAGCCTAGGAAAGACTATAAGTCATCGCAACTCAGCATTAACAATCAAGAATCCAGTCAGTATAAGATGCGTCAATAAAATTGATCTTTAGTCCCCGGACAAACCGAGAACCACCATGACAAACTCGGTACACACCCTCTTGTCACTGAATGCATAATCTCCATCAGTTCTACGGGCAAAAAAGAGGGGTTGAATGACAGTAACAGCAATAAGAGGGCAAGCCTAATATTCAAATCTAATACGAGGCAAAGACCATTCAAAAGGTGGTACCAAAGCAGTTCATATTTCAGTATTTCTTGAACGCATGCAATTCTCCAATTTCAAAAATAGGCACGAACCCAGAACTGAGGTAGAAAATAAAAGCCACATTAAATTGCCTTGATAACTGAAAAATAGAAGACGGAACTGAGCCTGTGTGCTTGCACCAAGTGAAGTCCAGCATCAGCAATCCATTCTTTGAAAAGCCGTAAAACTTGGAGACAACTTTCTAGGAAAATATTTTAGAATCAACTTGCTGAATATTTGGNCCTGTGTGCTTGCACCAAGTGAAGTCCAGCATCAGCAATCCATTCTTTGAAAAGCCGTAAAACTTGGAGACAACTTTCTAGGAAAATATTTTAGAATCAACTTGCTGAATATTTGGGAAGACCTGTCTCAAAATTGTAATTTAGTCTGGAGGATTTGCCTGCAGGATGTCCCAGAAACATGATTTAGCTCGAATTAGTTAAAAAAAGATATGTTTGGAAAACAAAAAAACAGTCATTACAGTTTATCAGCATATTGTGTGAGAATGTGCATCAGATTAGATGCATCCTCCCAAACTGAGTCCATGGTGATCAGGAATATGCTACTTGACCATCACACAGTAAAGTCCATACTTCACACAGAACAGAATAACAAAAGGATGGCGGAATTGGGGCACACACATTATTGAATAAAAGAAAGATTAAGTAGTGTCAACGAGGTTTCAAATCTATGCTTCCCGAGGATTGGAAACTATGTAAAATATCATGCATTTCTATGTCAATTATTGACATTACAGACAGCCTTGGTGAAGTTGAAGAGGATGTAGGATGTAGTGATGAAACTCTTAACCTATGGACAGATGATACCCTTCCTAATGACGGTAACCTAATCCTTAATTACCGTAACAGTATGACTAGGAAGAATAAATTCAAGAGATGGAAACAGAAGAACTACTGACATCCTAATCCGCCCAATATATGCAAGGAGGAAAGATACACAAGACTAAATATGTGCAAATGAAAGAAAGAAGCTGCAGCCTAGCATGTTGGAGCCAGCAACTGCCTCCATTATACCTTCTAGTGATGTAATTTGGTTGTCATTAAGCCATAGATCTTCTAATCTGCAGCAAAAGGTTCAAAGTACATATGAAAACATTTTAAATGAACAGAAAATACATGATCCATGTGGCCAGGTTAATAAGTTGATACTCTTTCTGTGTCAGGTTCTCAATATCATTTATTGTGGTAAGCTTATTGGATGACACATCCAGGACCCGAAGGTTCATCAAGGTTGATAGGCCTTCCATTTTTGCAATACCATTATGGCTTAAGTATAGTTCTTCTGGAGTGACACATTCCTGGTAATTAGGGAAACAATCAAGAAAAACTATTGTTATCCAAAATTCTAATTGAAAGAAATTTGATTCAAATAGAAGTTTCATTATTTCCATATGTCACAAATGTTTAGCAGCAGAATACCTCGAATCCTGTCATAGAAGTTAAACGATTGCTCTGCCGGCTAATCTTCTTAATGCATTTCAACCCCCATAGGTTAAGTTCTTGGATGCGATTCCGACTGAGCCATAGCTCTTGTAAATTTGTTTAATTTTGTAAAATTTCCATTACCTGAATTAGCAAAGCACGTCAGGATTGAGTATACATTCCAAAAAAGAACTATACAATACACCTCACTTGCCACTTAATCTCAAAGACTCTCCTTTAAATATAGTAAACACAGAGTGAGCATCTAAGCATTATTTTATATTCACCCAAATGCCAAGACACATTTAATCATCTGTTCTATATTAAAGACAACTTCCAATTTTGCTTGTGAAATCCTCTTCGAGAGTCCAGGATCCTAACCCGTAATCTGTTGGAGTCAAATTCAAGAATTTGCAGTTCATGAAAATGCTCAATCTCCTCCATCTTAGAAACTTTGTTTTTAGACACATAGAGCCCCTTCAGTGTGTTAAGAGTATTAGGGCAGTATGTGTAACTTGTTAAGAGTGTTAAGATATTATGTGTAAATATAAGAGGGTGTATTTGTCTTTTTTATTATTGTAAGTTAACTATAAATACAAGTGATGTATGANATTGATCTACAAACTCTGATTTCCATCTAAGGTAAACTTCCAGTGGCGTGAATGAGTAAGGGCTGGGACTATTNTTTTTGATTTCGAGAGTTAAAAGGGAGATTTTGAAGTGCTTAAAGTTAACTATGAATTGATCTACAAACTCTGATTTCCATCTAAGGTAAACTTCCAGTGGCGTGAATGAGTAAGGGCTGGGACTATCCCACATCGGATAGCCTTGGGGTTGGGTGTGTGTGTATAAGGCCCTATGACACTACCACTTTTAAGTAGCGGTGTTGTAGTGGTCCTCTGTGTGTGTGTCTATTGTTTCTGTCGACAAAAAGGGTAAACTTCCATGTGGTTTGCCCTTCAAGGACCTGAAAATAAGCATGTGACATCTTTGTGGTTTTGGATTAACTTAGTATTATAAATTCTTCCGGCAAAATAGGCTGTACATGGGCTACAAACACCAGATGGATGAGTTGGGCTTGAAGAAGTTATTGCCCTCCAAAATGATTTAGTCATAGATCTGAAGATTCGAAAACCCTAGATTTTCTCCCCAAATTTCCTCTGAAGGATTGTATTATATATCCGTATGTCTTGTTAGGTTCATTCTCAAGAGAGGTAACAGGCGCGTGGTTAGAAACTTCAAATCCCACCAGTGAACCTATCGGGTGATCTCCAGATGCTTTTCTTTTTTTCCACCCCTTTTTCAATCAAAAATATATATATATCCATTTGCCAGTCATTTTGCATCCGCTACTAATGGAGTCAACTTTTAATCTAATCCTAAAACACAAAGGCAAGTGCTTATTTTCAAATGCGAGGAATGAAAGTGCTTGAATGGCAAACCACATAGGGTCGAATGTCCTATCATCAGTTGTGCTGCTTCTATATGCTATGTAGGAACCTTATTCTACCATCACTCTATGTATCTGTGATTTTGGTCCCTTATTCTTACTCTATTTTGCAACTTGAATGTGATTAATTACTAGTTAAATAGGTGAGCTTGTAAAGGCAGACGTAGAGTGAATTATTAGGTCCGAAGTAGAGGACGATTATGGATAATTTCATATATGGGACTAGAATTTTCTTTCCCACCGTAATTCATTTTGGAGCCAAAC